AAAGTTTGTGGACATGGTGACATTATTTTAATTATTAAAAATATAAAAATCAAACTAATTAATGTGTTTTTTATCCCTGAATTAGCAGCAAACTTAATTTCAGTAAGTCGTATTACTAAATCTGGCTGCTCAGTATCTTTTGAAACAAATTTTTGTCGGGTGCTAAACAAAGACAAAAAAGTAATTTTTACAGCACATTCTTTAACAAATGGACTATATAGATTAGATCAAGTCCAAATGTCAAATAATATCTCTAATACAAGCGTAGTGGCTCTATCGGCGCAAGCAGACGTTTACACTTGGCACCGCCGTTTGGCTCATTTAAATCCAGAGTACATGAGACAACTACAAAATCATGCAGCAACAGGAATTAAAATTACAGGTAATATTGAAATACCACCCTGTGTAAGCTGTGTTAAAGGGAAGATGTCAAAAAGCCCTTTCAAAGCCACTCAAGTTCGTGCATCAAAAAAGTTAGAACTTATACACTCTGATATATGTCAAATGAATTCTCCTTCCATAGGTGGAGCAAAATATTTCCTAACTTTTTTGGATGACTTTAGTCGAAAGATTTTTGTATACTTTTAATCAAGTAAGGATCAAGTGACAAAGTGTTTTTCACAGTTTTTTAAGTATGTTTAAAATGAATCTGATGCAAAAATCAAAATTTCACGTAGTGGTAATGGTCGTGAGTTCAAAAACCAAGAAATAAAGAAAATCTTAGATGATGCAGGGATTCAACATCAAACGACTGTTCCATACAATCCTCAACAGAATGGGCGAGCCGAACGTTAAAATAGAGTACTGTTGGACAAGGCTAGGTCAATGCTTATTGACTCCAATATGGATCAGAAGTTTTGGGCAGAAGCCATTGCAACAGCGGCATATCTATCAAACGTTTCTTCAAAAAGAGCCCCAGGAGGTAAGACCCCCTGTGAATTATGGACAGGACATAAACTCAATTTATCACACCTAAGGATTTTTGGTTGTTAGGCTCTTAAATACGTACTAAATCATAGTCGTCAAAAACTCGACTCTAAGGCCAAAGAATGTCTTATGCTTGGATACGCCAAAAATCAAAAAGGTTACCGCTTATGGGACATTCAGTCTAACCAAGCAATTGTCAGCAGAGACGTGAGATTTCTTGAAGACAAATCTGTTAAAGAACACAAAAGTTTTTTTTCAGTTGAAGATATTCAAGAAGTTATGGGACAGGATGTTTCTATTCAAGAAAATCAAATGTTAGAAAAACGTACTCAAGAAGAAGATCTGATAGAAAATAGTCAAGATGATGTTAAAAGAAGTAGCAGACAGCGAACACAACCAAACTATCTTGATGATTACGTACTCTTCACTGAAATTCGAAATGTTAACGAGCCTGCCTCCTACTCAGAAGCTGTTAAAGGACCAGAAGTCCAAGCATGGTTACAAGCCATGAAACAAGAAATTGACTCAATAAATAAGAACAATACGTGGAACTTAGTTAATATACCATCAGATCAAATCCCGATTGGAAGCAAGTGGGTTTTAAAAAAAAATGAGCAGGATCAAAAAGTTAGATATAAGGCTAGGTTAGTTGCTAAAGGTTATGCTCAACAAAAAGGTGTGAACTATGATGACACCTACTCACCTGTTGTACGTTTCACATCCTCGCGCTTATTATTTGCGATGGCTGTAAAAATCCCACCAAAGATTTCTCATTATGATGTTGAAACAGCGTTCCTTCATGGTGATAGGAAACAGTTTATCTGCAACAACCAGAAGGATTTACACAGGAAGGAAGTGAAAACAAAGTGTACAAACTTAACAAAGCCTTATATGGACTAAAGAAAGAAAGTCGATCATGAAACCAGAAACTAGATGCCTTTCTGAAAAGCATGAAATTTTTTCAGAGTCCAGATGATCCTTGTGTATATATCATCACAAAAGATCAAAGAATTCTGATCTTGGCCATATTTGTGGATGATATCTTCGTTTTTTATAATTGTTCTAAGTTTAAAAGCTATATAGATGAAAAGCTTTCTTCTGCCTTTCCAGTGAAGGATCTTGGAGTTGCCAAAAAGTGTCTTGGTTTAAATATAGTTCATGACCTTAAAAAAGGGATTGATAACAATCGATCAGACTGACTATATTATAAACCTTTTGAAAAGATTTAACATGGAGGATTGCAAAAGTGTTTCATCACCCATGCAAAAATTGCCAGAACATAATATTCCTTCACCCGAAAAGGATGACACACTAAACGGTCCTTACCAAAACGCAATTGGAGCAATACTGTATCTAGCTCAGCTGACCAGACCTGATTTGGCTTACTCAGTCAGCAACTTAAGCAGATTCAACAACAACTTCACCCAAAAACATTGGAAAAGTGTAAAAAGATTGCTGAGATATTTATAAGGGAGTAAAGACTTAAAACTAACATACTACAACAAAGGGAACGAGGACTTAAAGGCGTACTGTGATGCAAGCTATGCGCCTGACCCAGATGATCCACGTTCAATTAGTGGTTACATTTTTATGCTTCAGGGAGGACCAGTGAGTTGGCTCAGTAAAAGACAACCAAAGGTTTAATCATATAGTACTGAAGCTGAGTATTACTCTTTCTACACTGCTGTTCAAGAAACATGCTGGCTGCGAAGACTCACTCAAACCATTCGCCTCCAAGGATTAAAACTAACTGTAGTCTACTGTGACAACAAAGATGCCTTAAGTCTTAGAGTAAATGCAAATTATAGTCATGCCACTAAACATATAAGTGTAAGAAACTCCATTGTAAAAGGAAGAATAGAATCCAAGGATATTTAGATTGAGTACATATCTTCAAGTGATATGTTAGCAGATACTCTCACCAAACCAGCAGCAAGTGATGAGATTAAGAAGTTTTTGAATATATTGGTCTAAGGTGTTAAAAGCAAACTTTTTTTCCTTGTAAAAGTTTATTGTATTTCTTTTGAGAGGGCGTGTTGCTATATCAAATTCAATGCAATACATACATATATATATTTTTCGTTTTGTAAGTGTTAGGTACACTATACGTCATACTAGTCAACCTATCTTCGGTACAGTATAGTAGTATACCGCCAGCACTCGCTCTGCTCACTACTGTAGTACTTCTCCTCTTCAATTAAACCAAATTAAACAGCTAGTGTTGATACCTATTTATTTATCCCTTAACTTCCTCAATAAGTCTACACATTATAATTTCTCCAACAGAATGTCTAATCGACACTTTTTTTTTGTTTTTACGCAATGTGGATTTGGTATCTGACTCATTTTATCCATAATAATTTGTTGATTCTATATTACCGTAACTGAACATTGCCATTATGCTGGAAGAATATTACTATCTTTTTTACCCCTATCTATGTAATAAAATTTTTTTTGGTACTTTAAGTCCTTTCATGTTATTGTTATGATTAAAATTCATTATACCATGACATGTTTTTTAATTTTTTATTTTGCTTTTTCCTTAGATTATTCTTTTTGGTAAATTTTTATCATTATATTCTACTTCTTTGCCATAGTACTTAACCATACAATTCACGATTAGTCTGATATAAATAAGTTTGTATTATTATTGATACTTTCATTTGTTAACTTCTGAATTTCTTCATATTATGTAACTCTGTCGTCCAACATCTAGTTACAAAATCCACCCGTAGTAATCTAGTTTAATTTGTTTTAGCTTCTGATTTTTCTTTATGTAGTGTTTCCCTCTTCAATTATTACAGTAATTTCTCTTTTTAACTCTCTCTATATTTATTAGTTGCAGTAATGCCGTTTTTCTATTAGTAAACGACTCAATTTTGCTTTTCTTCTAAATATATATGTAACGTTAGTAGCTCCACTAACAACCATATTCAAACTATTTTTGTTAGTTTAATGAGTACGTAATGAATACGATGCATTATGCTTGTAACATAAAACTACTAAGATCCATTCGTCACTACATATTGACAACATAAACTACAAATTCGCTGAATTTTAAGAATTAAACTGTTGTTTTATCAGTTTAAAGTCAAGGCTACAAAAACGTCTCGTTAATAAGAGTGATTATCAAAATATCATTCATTTAGCAATTTCATACGTCTTATAGCTTTTTCATTTCTAAAACCAGTAATGTCGGAAAAAGTGTTTTCTGGTTTTGCATTAAAATGAAAAAGAGGCAAAATTACTGTCACCAGTGAGTGTAATAATAGTAAGCTTTCGAAAACATTTTTTTTTCACACATTCATTAAAATGCATGAGATCTAGAAATTTATTTACATTGCGTGCAAACCTCAACTCAAAACTTAAAAATATAAAATAAAACTATGTAAAATTATAGAGAACTTTATTTTATTTTTCTAACGTTTTTAATATACATTAATTACTTGAGAATGTGTTTGAGAAAATTTTATAAATATAATAAGTTTTCTAACCCAATGCTAATGCTGATTTGTGTCCATCTAAATACTTTTATATGTATATTACACACACGCATGTTTTCCCATATTACATAGTGATTTTAAAGGATCATTCCACACATCTTCCTTCAGCTCTCTTCGGCCCCCGTCTAGATAAGGTTAAATTCTATCGATTTTACCCTTTTTATTAAGTTTAATTTTTGGTAAACCCCCCTCTCCCTTTGTCAGTTACCCTGTTCAATATTGAAGAGCTGCCCCAGCCACGGCGTTGGTAGAAATGGAGATGCGTGCGGTTAGGCGTGCAAAAAGCAATAGAGCGAGAGAGCGCCGACAAGCATACGCGTAAGTCTCGACGCTCCACCCACTGTTGCTCGTACATTGGCCAGCCGTGAGCCAACCAGCGATGAGATTAAGCGGGCACAGAGAAGACATGAGAGAAAAGGTGTATTTGAGTTGAACCGTATACAAACGCTCCGTTTGATTTCCGTCTCTCGACGGAACAGGCTCCCCCCGTTGCGAGATTAAGCGAGCAAAATTGTGGGTTATAGCGTATGTGTTCGTGTGAAGTGTGCGCAACACAAGACCTGTATGTGATTATTGATTTTCGAGCAATGGACACAGATCGGTGATGTTTCGTTTGTATATTCCATTTCTTATCTTGACGTCGACGACCCTGACGACACCATCGCTCCCAGGATACACCTTGATGACCACTCCCAGCGGCCAATGACAATTCGACTGAGATTTCTCCATTAAGATGACAACAGATCCGACCTTGATTTCTCCCTTTCCCTCGAGCCATTTTGTCCTTTTTTGAAGTTCGTTAAGATATTCTGAATGCCACCGTTTCCAAAAGTCCTGCCGTGCCTTCACAACGAATTTCCATGCTGGTAGTCGGTTATCTGGAACGGAAGTCAAATCGTGATCAGGCAACATCGTAAGAGGACGACCAATAAGGAAGTGCGCGGGTGTAAGCGCTAATGGGTCGTTTGGATCGCTTGATATTGGACTGATAGGTCGCGAATTTAAAATTGATTCGATTTCGATGCAAAGGGTATTGAGTTGTTTAAAGGTAAGCACTTTCTTTCCGATAACGCGTTTGAGATGATGTTTGAACGATTTTACCGCGGATTCCCAAATCCCACTGAAATGTGGTGTTACTGGCGGATTGAAATGCCATTTGATGTTTTGCTTCGCAGCGTAACTGCTGATTGTATCGTGGAAAGAGTCTGAGTGGACTAGGTTGAAGATTTCGCGTAACTTATTATTTGCACCTACGAAATTGGTTCCGTGATCTGAGTATGCGTGCGATGGGATTCCTCGTCGCCCTATAAACCTCTTGAACGATCCAAGAAACGCTTCTGTGGTCATGTCGCTAGCTATTTCGATGTGGACGGACTTTGTGGGCATGCAGATAAAAACGCAACCGTAAGCTGGTAAAATCACTCGATTTCGGAACTTCTTCTCCATTATGTTGATTGGCCCAAAATAATCAACGCCTACGTGCTTTAAAACCGCATTTTGTTGGACACGCGGTCGCGGCAAGTCGCTCATTTTGGCCTGAAGATTCACGGGTTGATGCCTAATGCATGTAATGCAATGCCTGACGATCCGCCTAACCTGATTCTTACCATCTAACAACCAAAAGCGTTGGCGAATCTTATACAGCGTGCCTTGAATTCCCGCGTGCAACAAAGAATGATGGACTTCCCTAATGATAAGATCGGTCACGTGATGATAGGAGGGCAACAAAATCGGGTACTTCTGACGATCAGGAATTTTCGCGTGTCGTAGTCGACCACCTACTCGAAGTAGACCGTCCGCGTCAATGAATGGATCGAACGCAGCGAGTTTGATGTTCTTTGTACTTCCGGTTCCCTTGTTCTGCTCAATCTCCTTGCCAAACTGTTCCTGTTGAATGAAAATTAAAAGCCTTGTTTCTGCTCTGGACCTTTCTGCAATCGAGAATGGTGCCTTGGTTCGATCAGACGCATGACGCCAGCGCAAGCAATAAGACAAGGAGCTAACAAACGCAAAGTAGGACGAGGATCGCTTGTAGAATGGTGGACTCGTGGATGGTTCCTGAAACGACAAATTTGACGCAGTTGGTGTTGCGGAATGAGAGGGTTTCGAGGTCGATAAGAGACAAGTTGACGCCTTCAAGCCTGGTAAATCGATGTTGTGATTTCTCGTTGAATTTGGTCATGCTTCTTCTGGACCATACAACCAAGACTTTCCCGACTTCCACTCACGATTCTCGACGAACTCGGCTGGGTTTTGTCCCCTGGAAAGAACATCCGCGAAATTGTTTTTACTTGCCACGTGACGCCACTCTATCGTTGATGACAACTCCTGGATTTCAGCGACACGATTTCCTTCGAAGACTTTGAGGACCTGAGGGGATTTCTTGATCCACTGCAACACGATCTCAGAATCGGACCAAAATGCGACCTTGTAAATGACAAAGGGAAAGGATTCCCTACACTCCTTGAACAATCGAACCAGCGTTAAGGCGCCGCACAACTCAAGTCGAGGAATCGTTGTTTGTTTGACTGGGGCGACGCGGGATTTCGCACAAGCTAAGCGCACGAGAACCTTCCCAGACCTATCCACTGATCTCACATACAAGCAAGCCCCATATCCTCGGTTGCTGGCGTCGCAAAACCCGTGGATTTGAATCGTGACAGCGTGTGGCAAAAGAAGGTGTCTTGGAAACGATACCCCTTCCAATAAGTTAAGCTGCTTAGCAAACGAGGCCCACTTGGTGAACAGGTCCTGAGGTACAGATTCGTCCCAGCCTACCTTTGATTTCCAATACTCCTGCATAATAACCTTGGCTGTGAATATAACTGGACCTAACAAACCTAGAGGATCAAAAATTCGAGCTATTTCTGACAAGATGTTTATCTTCGTGATTGTTGCGGGCAACTTGATTGGATTGACCGTGTATAGGAATTCATCGGACTTAGAATCCCATGTTAGTCCTAACGTCTTGACTACAGGATCTCCCTCGACGACAGACTCTGTTCCAAAAACTCGTCCCTCTAAATTATCTAACGCGTGTTGATGATTCGAAGCCCATTTCCTGATAGTAAATCCCCCACGAGCCAACAGTTGAATAAGTTCGTTGCGAATCTGTACGACTTCTGCTACTGAATCAGCCCCACTAAGCAAGTCATCTACGTAAAAATCGCGTTTCAAGATGGCACTAGCCTTTGGAAAATCTGCCTTTTCGTCCTCAGCTAATTGATGGATTGTACGAATAGCTAAGAATGGAGCGGACGACACGCCAAACGTGACGGTGTTCAACTCAAATGTCCTAATTCTGCCTTCGTGGAACCAAAAGATTTGCTGATACAACCTATCACGAGGATCGACAAGGATCTGACTGTACATACGCTCTATATCAGCCGTGATAACGAACGTGTGAGTGCGGAATCGAAAAATGTGATCGAAGAGTTTCGGCTGTATTGTAGGTCCCACCATGAGCATTTCATTCAAGGAGAGGCCTTTATCTGTTTTGGCTGAAGCATTGAACACCACTCGAGTCTTTGTGGTGGTACTAGATGGTTTGAGTACTGCATGGTGAGGCATAAAATACCCTCCAAAACTCTCATTATTGACGAGCGTCATGTGACCTAAATCGATGTACTCCTGCATAACCTTAGTGTACTCTACACGAAGTTCAGAGTTCCCAAGAAACCGTTGTTTCATGGCTTGGAATTGTCGGAACGCCTTAGCCCGTGAATCTCCGAGAGGTACAGCTGACTGCTTGAATGGTAATCTAACGACGTATCGACCACTACTATCGCGTTTCGTGTTTTCGACATAATGGGTTTCGCACGCAGTCTCTTTTGGGGTGTAACCTAACTGACTACCAACCTCTTCTAATTCCCAAAACTTCGTGAGCTGTTCGTTCAACTCGACTAAATTGCACGTAGCTACGCTATCTCGATTTTGGTCTATTCCCCCTACAACCACCCAACCAAGCTGCGTTTTCTGCAAGTAAAGATCGTAGTTTTCTCGAGCCAAGTGAATCTGACCGACTGACAGAAAAGATAGAGTCTCACCTGAACCTATAAGAATGTCGACCGGACGAGGAACGTGAAACTGCGGATCAGCTAATCGAAGGTTATGCGGAATATCGATTACTTTCCGTGGAAATGGTTCGCTTGGAATCTTTCTGGTGATATTGGGGACTACAAGGCAATTTAGAGTCTTCTGGAATTCATTGACTCGCGAACGAATGACGAGTTCAATAGACCCCTTCGATATGGAGCCACTTCCTCCAAAGCCTCTAATGGGCATTTCGCAAGCCTGCAGCTGAAATTGGAATTGTTGTACGAAACGCTCCGTCACGAAATGATTAGTGGAACAAGTATCCAACAGTGCACGACCTTCGATGAAGCTCTCCTTCCTTGACTTGACCCAAATGACCGCGCTCATGTGAAGTTGAGATGTGAGTGACCTAGACACGGCACTGAAAATATCTAAACCTAGTCATGCGTGAGAAGCGTTGTTGGACGAATTTCCACCAAGAGTTCCACCAGACTTCGCTGTTGACTGGGATGTCTTCGGGTCCGCATGCAACAAGGTGTTGTGGTACTTATCGCATCGCCTGCAATTCCCCAGGTTGCACTTTCCGACATGTGAATGCAAACAATTGAAGCACAAACGATGTGTTCTGACGAAATCCCACTGAGCTTGGACCGACAAAGTAGCAAACTCTGGACAACGATACAGCGAGTGTGCTTGATCGCATTTCACGCATGGCTGCTCTGCTGTAGTCACGAAGATCCGAGCACCGTCGTTGGTCTTCCTCGCCTTTCTGGGTTCCAGATTCGGCTTGCCGGCTGATTCGATGGCGTCTTTGAACTGCGGACAATCATTCTCCATTGTGTACATCCTCGAAACTACCCCTTCGATGAACGAATAAAATGTTTCAAGGTTCGGGAGCTCGTCCACCGCAAGCGAGTCCTCCCATCTTTGACGAATGGGCGATGGTAAGGCCCTCTCAAGTAAACGAACGACCATACGGGGAGGTTCCATACCACCAAGAGACTCCAACGAATTCAAGTGCTGTTTCACCTTGTCAACGATTATGGACAAATCCTTGGAAGTAGCAGTCTTCAACGGCGGAATGTCGAGGATTGCATCAAGATGCTTAGAGATCAGAATACGCCGACGCTCGTACGAATCAACCAGAGTTTTCCAAGCCTTGTCATAGTTCTCCGCGCTGATGGTATAAATCGAAATCTTGTTCAACGCTTCGCCCTGTAAAGTATTCCGCAAATACATAAACTTGACCAGTTTATCGATGTCACTGCGTGAATTGATCATCGTCAAGAAAGTGTTTTTGTACGACAACCATTCTTCGTGCCCACCGCTAAACCTTGGAAGTTCTGCTACTGGGAGTTTTAAGAGACGCTGGTGTTCTACAAAAGTCGAAGAGCCCATTCCTCCTCCCTGACCTACTAAAGACGCATTGTTCCTCCCGTCGAGAGCATTCAACTTCGCAATATCGCTGGCTATCTTGTAATACCGCTTGCTGATGTCTGGCCACGTCTCTACTTCCATTACCTTTCCGTTCTCAACACTAAGCGCTTCTATTAAGTCCTCACATTCTTGAAATTTACGGGTTAGGTCCTCCAAACGTAAAGTCGCGCTGACTTTGTCGACGTCTGCGCCCCCTACAAATTTTTCCAAACCTTCTAATCGATCCGAAAATAGCCTTGCCTTTATCGATAAACTCTTGGAAGTTGTAACTGCTATCCTGATAGCGTTAATACCCCGGGTCCCTCTTCTTGTTTATAAAATAAAAACTACCCACTCTCCACCTTTATGGTTCCCCCAAAAAAAACTAATGTAAAGAAATATCTTGAAATCAAGCTGATTCTAATTAGAAAAAAGTAAAAGGGGGTAACAACAAAAAGAAAAAAGAAAAAAAATCTTATCTGTATTGACGACGTTGACTCAACTTCTGACAGCTGGGAGAAGGTTGATCCGTGGGAGCGACGGCGTTGGAAACAACGATGATTGATGGAGATGTTGATGAGGCAGTGAAACTTCAAACCTCACAGGAGGCACCAAATGTCGTGTGGGAGCACAGCCGATCCATCATGGATTGCCTGGTCCAAATTAAAAAAAGATTAGGGCAGAATGAACCAAAAAAAGGGGGGGGGCTCACGTAACAAGAAATCAATCAAAAAAAATAGATAAAATAAAAACAGAAATAAATTAAAAAACGGGGGGNTATTGATAATAGGGGGTTATGATGCGTTGATTACCTTAAATTGAACAAAGGTTAATAAATAAAGAAAACCAATTTAATGGGAAAAAGCCAGTGGCATAAAAAACCCAGATTTATTAAGAAACGAAGACAAATACAAATTGATGAAATTGATAACTAATGAGATATGAAAATGCGGAATTTTAATTGCGGACTGGTCTTGTGTGCGTAAATGCGGGTGTGTATGATTGTACGGAAGGACCTACTGGTAACGACTTCCGGTGTGTGAGTATGCGAGGAATTAATGAAGGCAGGAATAGGATTCCCTTGCGAACCGACGGGCCCTGCTCGGTCGCACGAGTCAGCGCAAGGCTGGTGAAAATGGACCGACGTCCGGAAATGCGGAATTGCCCCTTGCGACAATTCAGACGCAGCTAGCGCTGCGATCGATGGATCGGGTGAGGAGTTAACTATTCCGTCTCGAGAGGCGTACAGGACTAATGATGCGAACAAACTTATGTGAGAGGAGAGAGCGATAGCACGTTGGTTGGGTTGGCGAGGATGTAGAATATGCCCTGGTGATAGTAGCAAAAATGGCGGACTACAGAAAAGTAGAGAGAGAGAGAGAGAGAGAGAGAGAGAGAGGGAATGTACAGCCACTGGGAAAGGGTTGAATGAAAATGTGGAGCGTGTACGAGCGAGAAAGAATGGGAAAATGGAGGAAATGAAACTAAGTATGTAGAATGTAAAGAAATGGGGAGATAGCAACAAGTAGAAAATAGCTTAAGAACAAAAGTGAAGATAGTATAAAGTTGAGAGAGATATAGATATATATTGAATAGGAAAGAGTTAGAGAGAGAATGTCAGACGTATAGGAGCAATAGATCAGCAGAGAAAAAGAGAGAGAGAAGTAGAGGAAGACGTGGAAAGGGGTTAAGTATGCGGAGATATGTAGGATGTTAGGAGAAAATGTGGGAAAGATACAGAGGGAGGTTAAATGATTAGACGTGTAAGAGCGAGTATAATGAAAGGATGAGGTGACTTAGCGTTGGCGTGATCCTCTGGTGGTAAGCGTCTGGTACAGCTGTCGACTCCTGGTGTACGATGACCTGGAAGCGAGAAGGCAGCAAAATGCAGGCGTTGGTAGCAATGGAGATGCGTGTGGTTAGGCGTGCAAAAAGCAGTAGAGCGAGAGAGCGCCGATAAGCATACGCGTAAGTCTCGACGCCCCACCCACTGCCGCTCGTACATTGGCCAGCCGTGAGCCAACCAGCGATGAGATTAAGCGGGCACAGAGAAGACATGAGAGAAAAGGTGTATTTGAGTTGAACCGTATACAAACGCTCCGTTTGATTTCCGTCTCTCGANCGCTCGTACATTGGCCAGCCGTGAGCCAACCAGCGATGAGATTAAGCGGGCACAGAGAAGACATGAGAGAAAAGGTGTATTTGAGTTGAACCGTATACAAACGCTCCGTTTGATTTCCGTCTCTCGACGAAACATATTGTCTGAGTAACGCTCTAATGTTTTTTCTAGCCCTCTTCAGCCAATTTCTACGACTCCCTTAATCATTACTTTATCTGTATGATTTGTAAACACATTTTCTCATCACCTATCATGTAGTGCTATGGCACCCTGGTTGTTTTTTTATCCCTAACTCTTGATAAAAGAATTATTTGTATTATTTCGTATCAACAGAACAATTGCTCCAGTTTCTTAATTAAGCTCACGTGGAGATAAGTCTTCACAAATATTGTATACAAATTCAATTAGAAAATTTAATCAAATATCACTATTAGATTTATCAATACCATTGTAAAAAAAATGATCTATGCAGTAATTTGTTTCTATTTTTTCACATGATTTAGAATTTTATTATAAAAAAAGTAAGTATCTTTATAATAAGTAGTAACTATAACGTTATCTATTAAGAAGTTAATACCTTCACTAAAAATATCGTAACAAACTTCAAACGTTTTTCATTTATTTTGGACTAGCAATAATTTTAATTTTTCCTTCTTTGATATCTATTAGAAATTTAAAAAATAGTTTCTCAATAGAACGTATATTCATATTAAGTTTAAGAATACGAACTAATTACCAAATGATTAATTAGTCAATACTTGTTTGATACTTTCTGTGCAATCATTCTTGTATGACTATTTTTCTAAACTGGAGGTATCCGTCTAAAATCTCGTCCTAAAACAAGTCAATTACCATGAAAACAGATATTTCACGTAATGTTCTTGCAACTATTTCTAAGGCTTTCTTTAAAATTTTTTGGAGTTTTCTTCAAATTTAAAAATTGAATTTCACTGTAAAAAAGCATAGTTTTTTTCTTTCTTTTTTAAATTTCAAATGAAAAAAACTGCTTTAATTTTTCCATAATTTTTTGCTTCAAATATCTTCAGACATTTAAAACCACGTAAAAATTCTATTTATCGGCATGCCAGCATAACGTTAAATGCTTCCTAAAAAATATTATGAATTTGGGTATCGTGTTCCATTAGATCTAAAGCAATAGCAGTATCTTTGAGTCTACTGTAAAGCATTCAGTCAGCTGTTATTAACATTTCAAAAGATTCTGCTCTATTAATGTGATTTAAGATTAATTTGAAAAAAAATGCTGAAGTCCTTAGAAGACACTATGTTAAGTCAACCTATTGTTTAATTATTTGAAACCTTTTCCCGTTTCACCCAAAGTTTTTGTTTTTGAATTAAAACAGTAGTATTCCGGAATCTTAACATAGCGAGTTTTGTTGTGCAAAATTTTGGCAAAGTGAAAGACAAAAATTCAATTCTTGTAAAGGTAAAAGATTATTTTCACCTGCTTTAAGTTTACATAATAGTAAGTTAAAGCAACTATTAAAACGATAATAATTTCAAGATATGTAATTCAATATTACAAAATTCTTTTCCCTTTGGCGTTATTTAGTGCCGTAAGTAAAGAAAAAAAACTATAAATAACTAATAATTCAAAGTCAAGTTTATCAGATATTACCTAAATCTCTTATAATTAATTCTAATTATACTTTTTACAGTCAATTATACATGTATGGTGACTTAACTTCTGTAGAAAAACAAATAAAGTAAATGCATTTTACGGCATACTGTCAAAAAGTTCATTCTTGATCCAAAGTGTGTACAACGTCTCGGTTGTATATTGACAACCCTATAGAAGCAAACTAAAACAATAGAAAATAAAAAACAACTTACTTACAAATCACATAAATCATACACAAGTCAAGAAAACGATATCAATGGTTGACTCTCAAAACTTACAAGTAAGCAACGTCGAATATTTACTCCGAAATAAATATAACAAAAGTTATATTTTGTTGACTTAAAAATTAACGATGTAGCTCTGCTTACTATACAACGTGTACTGATGGTCATATCACATGTGTACAATGACTGCAATGTAATAAAATACATTCCTAGTAACGAACAAGTGTTAAAAAGGTGCAGTATTTAAATAGTGGCGATCAATAATGAAAGTATCAATTAGTAAAATAAAATAAATAAAACAAAAATTATATAACATGCAAATAATAAAATGCTGTAAAACGGAAAAGTGGTTATCAGCTTATAAAACTATTAATGTATTTTTTTAAAAACGAACTTAAGTTTTGTGTGTCACTGTTTCTATTATTGTTATTTTTTGGTTCTGCAATGTGAATCATTTCTGAAACTAAGCGTTCGTAGTAATTATTTTCTTGGTCTAAATTTTTTATTGCATCCCAATCAAAAATAAAAAAATGTCCTGTATTAAGAGTATGGGCAAATCAAGCCGATTATTCACTCTTTTCCTTTTTACAAACATCACAATATTAATCAGGCTTACACGTTTTACATTTTTTAAGAATTTTTTTTATGTTCGTTCGTTCTCGTTTCTAAACTTCTACTAATCTGACCTTCATTGCCACATGGACCACCTAAACACTGTATCCCATAAACGTTGTGGGGAGAACGTATGAGAAGATGGCTATCTCTGTATTTACGTCAAATGAACTGCTCGAAATCCGTACAAGAACGCTTTACATCAACGTGATGCTAGTATTGAGGTACATACAACTACTATATGGATTTGACCTACGACACGACGTTCAAGATATGTATTATTGGATGAAAGAACTGTCTATAAACAGAAGATAATGCAAGTTTCCCTTCGTTGGAAATTTCATGATGTACTGCCCCAACATATTGAGTATGGTTTTAAAACTTTAGACAATTTATATTCACAAAGTAAGTTTTTCAGCAATGGGATTGAAAAATTTTTAAAAACCATTAAACTGATCATTTTCAAGTACGAAATAATCGATGTAAATATTCATCACAAACAAATTAGTCGAAACTTGAAAAAACTTGTAAGAACTATTATTTTAAAGACTGGTATATCGGTATAACATGCAATTGAAAATTATTTTCTTATCAAAACAAAACTGTTTGGTGAAAAATTTTAAAAGAATTTACAATCAAAATTTGCTCATATCTATTATAAAAAATATCGAATTTAAAATAACATTGTAAATTTAGATGAATTT